CACGGATGCCACCCCACCGTCCCGGCGCGGGGCCCTTCCGGGCTGCTCCGGGAGGGGGCCAGAGAGCCGAGAAGAGGAATTCAGCCTGAAGGGGCGGCTCGGCCCCAGCCACTCCCAATATCCACCCTCCTCTGGCTGCCGGCGGAATGGGGAACGTGGGACCGGTCCTCGGAGTGTGGGGTGGAGGCCCACAGTGGGCAGACTCCACCCCCGGCGCTGGTGGAAACCCCTCGCCCCCATCCCGTCAGTCCTCTGCGACATTTGGAAACTTTGAACCCAGTGGCTTTAGGATGTCGATTGGGTCTTTTCATTCTTATGCACCTCTTCCCCCTCCCAATTCAGTGCTGGCCGCATAGTGTCGTTGGGTAACATTAGAGTCACCCAATGTAATAACTTCAACCTCAGGATTTTTGTGAGGACTAAATAAGATATGGTTAATAATGTACGAGTATCTCAAAACCTTGCTCACGTCTTTGTTTTGATTAAAGGTTTCTGCTGAGATGGTGGGTAAGACCATGTATGATAGGTGATAAGTCCAGTTTAAAGTGTCAGCACCCAAAGGGCAGGATGCAGGCTGCTTACTTGTGCTCTGTGACTTTTGATTATGGGGAATAAAGGCGTGATTTAGTGACAAGAACTATGGGGGATTCAATTAAAAAAAAAAAAAGCATTTCAACTAAGGCTAATAACTAGCTTCTTGAGGACATACTGTGTGCTGGGAGCTTTAGTTAGGACATAATCTCACTGCATGTTATCTTACCCCTAAGCATTAGGCTGTTAGCAGGAAGGCTGCAGAGGTTGTATCCACAGTGCCTAGGACAGTGCCTGGCACATGGTAGGTGCTCAGTTAATACATATTGAAAGAATGAATCACACTTAGAATAAATGAAGAAATGGAAAATTCAGAGAATTTAAGCCATTTACTGAAGACCATATTAACAGGAAGAAACAAAACTAGAATCTGTGTGATTCTAATGCTAAAGCTCTGTCATCTACACATGTCCCCCCTGTGATGTTCTGCTTATGTTTATCAAGACTTCTTTGCCTCTGGAAGACTACCTTGTCTCTGTTCCCCTAAGCATTGTCTCCAGGCCACCTCTGTTTGTTCTGTATGTTACTTACTCTTCTCCTCTAATACCCTTACACTCTTGCACATGCTGGAAATTCTTACCTCCAGTAACTTGGGGAGGTGATATGTGTCTTTCTCACTGGAATACAAGACCAGATAAAATGATAACTGAAAATATTTATTATTTTGTGTTAATATTTGTTTTCATTAATATTAATCATTGAGTAGCTTTCCTGTGTTTGTACCCCACTAACCTCTTGACTTTTAAATTCTTGAAAGGTAGTGTTTTTTCCCCTTGGGGTCTTCTCACAGGGGTCTGGAAAGCAAATACTGCTCTACTTTTCCATGTTTTCTATAACTGAATGAAGTGATTTTCCCATGGTAGATAACACTTTTCTGCCTGCCTGTTTCATGATAACTCTTGAAGGATTTGACTAAGTTTGGCTAAATCTCATATATAGCTAAAGGCTTTTAAGACTCATCATAATTTGCTTTCTGATTCACTCTGACCTCTGGAACAAAATGTAGTCAAGCATTGCTCAGATAAGCACATTGTCAGTGGTGTGTTAGTAGAGTTTTGTGGTTGCACACAGTATTGAAACTACCTGTTTGTGTGTGGTGCTGCAAGGACTGGCTTATAGCAAGTTCCAGATAGCAGACACCTCCTGGCTTTCCCAGTCTCAGATGTCACCACAACTCATCCAGGCACACGCCCTGTGGGGTAGAGGTTTGTGAACGTTGGTGTGGGGACCAGCAGACCTGAGTTCCACTTCCCGCTTACCCGCTTACTAGCTGTGATACCTGGAGCAAGTTCCTTAACCTCTCCGAGTTCCTTATTCCTCATCTTTTAAATGGCAGTCACACCACACGTTTCTCAGGGGGGTCATGGGAATTAATGGCTAAGCAGAGCCCGACACAAGGGCTGTTGTTAGCCCACCGAGGTAGCCACGAGCGCACCGATGACTGCAAGTCCAATGTGGAGCTCAGTGAGCAACGCTGAGTGGAGAGCGAGCACAGAGCAGGGCAGGGCCAGGGACCTTGACACCACATCTCACCAGATGTTTCCCCCAGAGCCCTGAGGATGATGACAGGAAGGTCCGAAGGAGAGAGAAAAACCGAGTTGCTGCTCAGAGAAGTCGGAAGAAGCAGACACAGAAGGCTGACAAGCTCCATGAGGTGAGCCTGTGGCTGGGGCAGAGCCACGGTAGAGCCATGGGTAGGAGCCATCCTCCCCTGCCTGCCTATGCTCTGGGGCGGGGTGGTGCTGTCACTGTCCTTGGCCCACGGTTCTGATCCTTTGCTCAGGGACATAGTCATTTCTCCCTCCTCCACTGGGTGCTTCTCAAACTCAAGTTTCTTTCATTATAGAGCAAAACAAAACAAAACAAAACACAATAACAAATGCTGGCAAGGATGCAGAGAAAGGGGGATGCTTCTACATTGTAGGTGAGACTATAAATTAATGCAGCCATTATGGAAAACAGTATGGAGGGTCCTCAAACAACTACAGATAGAACTACCATACAATCCAGCAATCTCACTGCTGTGTATATACCTGAAGGAATTGAAATCATCATATCAAAGGGAAACCTGCACTCCCATGTTTACAGGTGCTCTATTTACAATAGCCAAGAGTTAGAACCAACCTAAATGTCTAACAACAGATTACTGAATAAAGGAAATGTGGTATATGTACACAATGGAATACTACTCAGCCATAAAGAAGAATAACTTCTTTCTTTCCCTTACTTCCTTGCTTCTTAAAAAGAGTAGCTTACACCTGCTGTCTCTGCATCCTCAGCTCATGTTTACTCCCTAATCCTTCATGGTTTCACTGCTGCTCCCCCTTCCCACCCAACGCACATACGTTTGTGCACACACCCAGCACACATGCACATGCACACACACCTAACACAAGCCCCCCAACACATACCCACACTCCCCCAGTGCATACACACAGCCAACACACATGTACATGCACACACCCCCTATAGAAGCTGCTCTCACCAAGGCTACTGGGCCCTGAAACTGCCCCATCCAGGGCCCTCTTTCTGGTCTCATCGTCCTTGACCTTGCTGCAACACTTGACACTCTTGGCCCGTCCCTTCTCGAAACCTTCCCCTCTTTCACTTTTAAAAGACCACATTTCCTAGCTCTCCTGACCCTCTTCACCCCTTTTTTTTCTCGGTTTCTTTGTTAGGTTTCTACCTCTGTTTTCTGAAATGATGATGTTGAGCAGTGTTCCAGACTCTGCCCTTTTTTCTTCTCACCCTGGGGGATTTCATCTATTAGTCTGTTCTCTCAACATCAGCTCTCAATACTGATTACTCCAGGCTGGCCCTCTGTCCTGGGCCCTAGACCCCATAACTTCATTGTCTGCTTGGACATCTCTAAAGGGTCTGTTGCAGGCTCTTTGGATGCACCATAACAGGACTTTATTGTTTACCCGGGACTTTCTCTTCTCACTGTCTTTAGTTTGTGGTTAATGGAGCTCACTGTCTTTCTCATAACTCAGACAGGAGCCTGGGGTCATCCTAAACTATTCTGTTTTGCTCACCCTTATGCATACACGCAAATAATCCCATAGCCAAGACATGGGAACTGCTCCATCTCAGGAATTGGCCTTGAAAGCATCCAAGAATCTACCCAAGGAATTGGTGACAGTTCCGCACTTTCATCTTTGCACAGGGTCGGTGTACTACATGATTAAAGATTTTAGTTTAGGTCTCTTCTGCCATGCTTCCTTGCCATAGATCTTCTCAGCAAGGCCAGTCTGGGGCAGTGACAGCATGGAGACTCAGGGGTGTTGTGGGGAGAGGAGAAGGGCAATCTGTGAAAACTTTAACGATGAACAGAGAACAAATTTAGAATGCACACACTCTGGGAAGAGGTGACCCTCTGATATAAATCCACATGGTGGTATAAATGATAAATGTCAGATTCCTTCCTAGAGGAAGGAGGGCTGGACCCTAGAAAGAGACTAGGGTCTCCTGACTAGGATCAGGGAAGGTTCTTCCCTGCCATTATTAGTTCTTCAAAATTTCTACAGAAGAATTGCGACGTCCTTTGCCTCTTTTCTTCCTTCCCTCTTGCTCCTGAAGCAACTGTAGTTCCAGCTGCATGAGGCCAAATGACCCCTACAGGAGACTCATGGCTCACAGTGCACGGCCCCATGTTCAGACCACAGGTGCCAGCTGGACAGCCAGGGCCGTACTCCTCAAGAAGATTCTAGTCCAAGCCATGTACGTTTATATTTTGTTTAATTTAAACAAAAACAAAGCACTTGTTGTTTTGTTTTGTTTTTTTCAGTTGTTAAGTCTTGAGTGATTATGTGCACAGAGGTGACTAAGGGTTTTGGACAAGATCTTTCATGGAGCAAGGGGAAGTAGATCCATTCCACAAATATTTATTAAGCACTCCTGTGGGCAAGGCATTGTCACAAGAGAGGAGAGTCACAAAGAGAGGAGGAAGGTCTCATTCTTGTCCTTGGGAAGCAAAGAATTTCTGAAGGAAAGTATATTGGTTTTCAATTGCTGCTGTAACAAATTCCCACAAATTTGGTGGCTTAAGACAACACAAATTTACTATCTTATAGTTTTGGCAGTCAGGCATCTGAAATGGGTCTCACTGGGCTAAAATCAAGGTGTGGGCAGGGCTGCATTCCTTCTGGAGACTTGAAAAAGATTCATTTGCTTGTTTTTTCTAGCTTCTGGAAGATTCCATGTTCCTTGACTCATGGTCCCCTTCCATCTTCCAAGCCAGCAATGGCCAGTTTAGTCTTTCTCATGCTGCATTACTCCGACGCCGTTTCCATCTTCACATCTCTTTGTCTGACCCTCCTGTTTCCCTCCTTCACTTGTAAGGACTCTTGTGATCACGTTGGCCCTGCCTGGATAATCCAGGCTAATCTCTCCCTTTTACTCTTCTTAACCACATCTGCAAAATCCCTTTTGCTGTATAAGGTAACATATCCCCAGGTTCCAGAGAGTAGAATGTAGGAGGGTACTTCAAAAAGTTCGTGGAAAAATAGAATTAAAAGATAATATGACTCTTTCCATGAACTTTTTGAAGTACCCTCATAGACATCTTTGAGGGGCCATTATGCTGCCTCCTGCAGAAGGTAGCAGAAATACATAACTTTACTACGGTGTCAGAAAAGACACCCAGATGAAGCCTCGGGTCTCTCAATTTCTGCCATTGTTGGATTTGATAACCAAGTACATCAGGTGCCTGGAAACTTAGGGATGGTGCTACGTTTACTCCGCCTGATCCCTCTTAGAAGCAGGGGTGGAGAGCCCTTCCATGGGGTCCCTAGCCTGTCCTCCTCCCTGTAGACTGTGTTGCATGACGGTTATGCCAGCTGCCCTACCCGGCAATGGACAGGATGATCTGAAAGCCAGACTCTCCACAGAAGAGCACTGCCTCCTCCTCTTCCTCCAGGGGGCTAGAGGAATGGGTCAGGATAATGCATCACTGGTGAGCATCTCAGCAAGCCCAGCGTCGTGGAGAAACAGTGTCAAGGAGGTCAGGACAGTTGTGCCATCTGTTTACAGACCCCACAGCTGTAGCCCTCACATTACCCTCACTAGCTACACATAGGTGTCACTGGGCACAGAGGGTGTGAGGGAGCTGGTGACCGGCTCAGGAAAGTGGAAGTACATTCCAGACCTGCAGAGTAAGAGGAACATCACCTCTGAACCAAAGGACACCACAAGAATAATCCTTTTCCTGTTAATTCCCATCCTCCTTCCAAGAGGACACTGTAATTATGGGGACCTGTGTTCTGCATGCCCAACAGTTAAATCTACATATTGGAGGTGGGAAGTTGGGTTAAACAATGGGATACAGAATACTTTTCCTGTGCTCCAGGGAGCTGAGCACAGAGCAGCCAGCACACTGCTGTGGGTCATGCAGAAAGCCCCTTGAGATCCCTGGGGCTCCCGGGCCACAGCTGGGATGCGGAAGGTGAAAACCGCCACCTGAAGCCATGCCTGCCTACCACTCCCTGGGGACAGCAGCCACCAAAGGGCTTTTCTCAGTGCTTCCTGGGCCCCGCACAGTGAGGTAGCCGGCCTCAGTGTCTGAAAGTAACCCAAGCTCTACTTGCCTTCCTTGAACACCACAAAGGCTAATACTTAGAGCAACACTTGTTTAAAATCTCCACTTTCCTCTCCTGCTCCCCTCCCTCACACACCCCTTGGTCACCTCCGACGCCCCGAAAAGCCTCCTCCAGCTCCCGTGGGCAGAGCCTGAGCAGGCCGGGCGGGGGTCTCTCTTCCCTCAGTTTCCCTTCAGGGTGGTGTTGCCAGCAGTTGGACTGTGGTCATGAGAGCAGTTACTAATGTGTCTGCGGACCTCAGCGGGTTTTTGTCACCCCTTCAGCGGCTCACCCTGTCATGGGCATTGCGGCCTGCATTCGTCCTGGAACGTCAGGCGCGTGCTAGGGCCACATTCGCAGATGGTGGCCACGGCGAGCAGTCAGGGTCTGTGAGGCAGGCTGAAGGGTGGCTCAGAAGTGGGTCACACTGATTCGACCAGGCACTTAAAGGTGTAAGACTGAGAAAGAAGCTTGAGTCAGAAAAGGAAAGCAGCAGTGCCATCCTCAAGAGCCCCAAATGTCACAAACTAATGCATTACTTGGGCAATATGGTTGTGGTATGTGTTGCCATGGTTTTTTCAGATATTGCATATTCTAAGAGAATGCTTCGTGTCAGTACCCTCTTGGTTTAGAAACTGATTATGACACCAGTTTGTACAACCCTTGCTGGTGACACAGTTCTTCTTCTGGGAAGTCCATCAGCTCAAGGCTTGGGAATAGACTCACTGTAAAACCCTGAGAGCTTGCAGCCTGTTACTTCTGGTAACCACCCTGGGGAAATTTGGGCCCAGGCACCACCAACAGAAAGCAGAATTGCTGATGCTGCGTGAGGATTGCAGTTGACCTTGAAACTGGGGATTGTCTTGCAAGTCTCTGTGACCTTGGAAGAGTCACCGTACCTCTCAGAGCTGCAGTTTCCTATCTTGTGAAGTGGGGTCTGTTTGTGGCTGTGTCCTGCTGCTGGCCTCTTCTACCTCTCCTTTCTTTCTCTTTCCCATTATCTTCTCTGGTCCCTGGGACCCACGTGAACTTCTTTACCAGCCTTGATCCTGTCTTCTATCTCAGAGGCTCCCTAACCTGCGTGCACCCAGACAGCCCCTCACCCTTAGATACTCAGAACAGTCTACCTCTCCTTTCTTTCTCTTTCCCATTATCTTCTCTGGTCCCTGGGACCCACGTGAACTTCTTTACCAGCCTTGATCCTGTCTTCTACCTCAGAGGCTCCCTAACCTGCGTGCACCCAGACAGCCCCTCACCCTTAGATACTCAGAACAGTTTCCCACCCTCAGCACTGTTGACATGTGCGGCTGGATAATTCTTGTGGTGGGGGTTGTCCTGTGCACTGTAGGACACTGAG